TCGTCTCAGACTCTGGGAGGAGTGTAGAGGAGGCAAAACCGGCACAGAGGATAAAATAGTGGGAGAAAGGCCAGAGGAGGAGTCCAAGGAAGGTGTTTGAAGCAAGAGGGTAGGTAATGTGCTAATTACTGTTGGCAGGTGGGGTAGGGTGTGGACCAGAGTGGCCATTGAACTGAACACTGGGGGGTTTTGAGGATGACCATCATGTCAAAAGAAAGCAGATCCAGACTTAGATAGGGAGAGACTTTAATTAGAAGAGAGACTACCGCTATAGGGAGAACACTGTGGTCTCAGAAGTCTGCAAGCATCGTAAACTCAAACAGAAGGGTTTTCCAAACATAAGCAGAGTTTTTGGAGGTAAACCCAGGCAAACAAGGAGAAATGACCAGGTGGTCTGGAAAATGTCCTATAGTGGTCAATGATTCCCAGGAAAGGATGTTAAGGGTCTTGGGGATAGGGGTTCCTGTCCTGTGTGCTGACTTGGGCTTGGGGGTAAGTGGAATTCAGGCCTGTGGGAAAGAGAAGGCTGAGCAGAGTTTGGTCAAGCAAAACAGAGGGCAAAGCTGTGGGTAACGGTGGATTCTGGGTCAAGAACAAACATGGACATCAGACCAAAGTGGCCTAAAGAGTGAGTAGATAGTGAGGTAGTGAAGATGCCCAGCGTAGACAGCTGTACGTTCTCAGTTGTGGGGAGGGGGAGTGGGGAGATAGGGTGGTGGCTAGAGAAAGAGACTTTAAGCAGAGAATGATTTTAATATAAGGTGAGAAATCCTGGAGCATATTTTTTGTCGTTGGTAATGATCTAGCCTGGGACTGTCCATCTGCATGTGCTGCCTACAGTCTCTGCTTCTCTCCATCTATCACAACCTCCTCTGGGTATATTATTTCCTCTCTTGGGGTCCCTGGACAACACCCACCCCAGAGTGATGAATGGTCTGTGGGAGTCCCTGGGGTGGGAAGCTCAGATCCCTGGGCCTCCTGATCCTGCTCAGGAGCTGCAGGACACAGCTCTTTCAGCCTGGGTGGGGGGACAGCAAGAACCCTGAGCCACTAGACTAGAGCACTGGGTTTTCTCCCAGTTCTGCCAGTCGCTAGCTGTGTGATGTTGGGCTGGTTATTTGCCCACTCTGGACATCAGCTTCCCCTCAGGGAAGTGAGGATTTTGGGAACTATCCCCCTTCAGGGTCCAACTCTTCCTGCTGTGATCCCCACACTGTGGTCCCCACCCCATATCCACAGCCTTCCACCTTCTGCTGAGCCTCACTTCAGGTTCTCAACTTTCCTGCTCAAATCCTGCCCTTCCCTCCTTGACCAACTTAGATCTGCTTCTTCCAAAACTGCTCTCCACGAGCTTCCAGGATGGACTGAAAAGCTGGGCTTTCTCCCTCTCCAGTTCCTTCTCCCCTGGCAAGACAGAAGAGCCCCACTTTCCCTGGGAGCAGAGTTTGGACTTGGGTGCCAGGAGAAAGGGACCCAGGACATTTTTCTTCTGATGCACAGGCATCGATCGGAGCCTGCAATCAAATTCTTGGCTTCCCTTGCATATCCCAGGGACACAGCAAACAAATTTCAAAACCCCATAGCTTCCACCTGTAGAGCCAAAGGCCTCCACAAAGGCAAGATCAGATGGCCACCTCCCCTCTCCAATTATGCCCGAACACACACAGCCACCAAGAGCATCAGAATGTTCAACTGGCTTGGTGAGGATTAAAACAAGCCAGCTGTGGGCAGCGAGGGATGTCCTTGACCCCTCTCCAGCAAAATTCCATATTCCTGGAAGCTTTGAGTTATTTGAAACAAATGCACACTTAAGTCCTGACATCGTCAATGTTTGAATTCTCTATTTCAAGCTTGAAAGGAGAGATAATCTAGCAGGTAGATTGTGCATCGTGGTAGAAAGAATTTGGAGGTTTGGCATGGTGTTGGAGTTCACTCTGGCATATTAGCCCTGTCACTTCCTACTGGAGTGAGTTTCAGATATTCACTCATCTTCCCCGGACCTCAATTTCCATCTGTAAAGATGGGGTGTTGAGAACTCTTACCTACCCATCGCATAGGTTTGACAGTAAAAAATCAAGTGCAGGGTTTGTGGGACTGTTTGGGGGGAAGTTGTGGTCCATGGGATGAGGGAGTGGGAAGGAGACCTGGCTCGCTGAGCTGCTACTCACAGGGGGCAATTGCGCAGGAGGTGGCGCCATGCTGCTCAGCGTGGGCGCTGCGCTTAGGCTGGATCCCAGGGAGGCAGCAACTGTTCTGGCTAATTGGAGCAGAATAAAAATCTCCCCCAGTGCAGCAGATAGAAAGCAGCCAGGAGAGAAAGCGCCTGCAGGGCAGAGTGCTATGGGATGACGCCCAGAGGAGGATGGTGGAGGCTGCGGGCAGGGGAGGCAGGAATGCCCGGAGGAAGGAGCCAGCTCTGCGCACCTGGCCAGGTTGGCCTCCGGGAGAGAGAACCGGAAATGGGACAACTGAATCGGGCGTTTAGCATGTGTTCTTAGGTCAAAAGTTTCTAGATCTTTTAAAGGATCTTTCACTCACTTTCAGTTATTCTTTGGATCATTATAAGATTTTAACATTTCAGAGAACCTCCCCTAGATGCTTAGATAACTGCCGATTTGGCTACTGCTCCGGGAACCCAGGCACCCTGCAAAGGATTAAAGACAGAAAGAATTCTATCTCAAAACACTTTTCCTCTGCCTGTGTTTGCTGATTATTACACAATGAGAAGCAATGCTGAAGCCCTAGGAAACGAAAACATACCTTCCAAAATGACAATTTCATTCATCAAGTGACAGGGGAATTGGAAGACCTGGGTTGCAATTCCAGTTCCATCCCTGGGAGAAAATGTCACTATTCATTCAACATTCATTCCACAAAGGATTGCTCCTGAAAATGAAAGTCATTAAAAATCATCTTAATAATCATCCCCAAATAGTTTGATACAATTTAACACAGTTTTTTGAGGTTCTGGGAATCGAATCCAAGGTTCGAGCATGCTAGGCAAGCTCTGTATCACTGAGCCACATCCCCAGTCCCTGAGTCATTTTCAAAATGACTTGTGAATTAAAGGATTCCTCAGTAGGATAAAGCATACCTATTTTAGAGCAAAACTCCATACCTATAAAACACAAGCAATGTTAAAATTGGAATTAAAAAAAGAAAGCCTGTTGTTATCATGCTGATAATTAGATGCTTAGGTTAATTTATACCCTACCCAATATCCTAAAAAAGATTTAAGGTGTGCAACGTGACCTTGTTTGGACACCCCAGTCAATTCAGTAAGGCAAGATGAAATAAATTTGAAAACAGAGGACAAGAAAACATTGGTATGGGTGACGAACACATAGGATCAGTAAAAATTCATGAATTAAAGAGTTTAAGGGAGAAGATGGGTGCAGACTGAGTGCATAAGAATCGATGTTTTCTAGCAACGGCTAGAAAACAGAAGGAAAAATCTTTACTTAAGAGAGAAATAAATGATCTAACATGCTTGGGAATAAATATAATATATGCCTGACCTTTTAAAAGAAAATTGCAAACCCTAATGAGGTAGGGGCAGAGAGAGAGACCTAACATAACCCAAGTTGAACACACTTGATATTATGAAAATGTCTCCCCGCCATAGGTTAATTTACAAACATGGCCTATCTCAAATCAATCCCAGCAGTACTTTCCTGAAGATGATAGATTCTGGAAAAGCAAACAGAGGAGGATTTCAAAGGACAGGCTAAAAAAAAAAAAGAGTAAGTTTCTATAAAATAATAATTTAAAAAATAATTAAAAATGAATGATGCTGAGGAACTCAATAGCATTGAAGAATTTTAATTCAGAGCTCCCCTTTAATAGACTACAGATGGATTCCAGAGCTGAATACATTTTTAAAAATAGAAAAGTTAGCAGAAGATGAAATATGTATTATCTTTACAAAGAAAGACCACTCGGCTTTGAAGCAATAGAAGAAACTGCAAAGATAAGATTGGCAGATGACACAAGAACAAAACGAAAACTCCCATATGTCAGGGGAAAAAAAGAGTAAAATAAGGAGATGCTAGATGGAAAAAAATAATGTAGTTGCCCCAACTCCAGTACACAAAGAATTGATAGCTATGCCACATAAAAAGTTTATAAGAGAAAAAATATTGTGACTTGATAGACAGTAAGCAACACGTTTAGGCAGGCTTATCACGGCGGGGGTGGGGGGGGACACCCAGTAGGTTAGCAAACACCTGGGAAGATGTTTAGCCTTGTTAGTAATTAAAGCAATTAAAATTAAGCAGTCTTGAGCTATTTGATACTTATTAAATTATCAAAAACATCTCCCCACAAAACATACTCATAACCACTATGCCAAGGTTGGAGGGTGGGCTGGGAGATCCAAGTGGAGAGACAAACTTTCAGAGGTAATGTAAGTAGCACCACTCTCTAAGTGACCAGTGTGTGTGAAGAGTCTAAATATATTTACATTCTTTGGCACGATTAGTTTATCTCTGGAAAGCAAAATGCATCCCTTTGATGATGTTCCATGCAGAATTGTTCAATAACAAAAATTAGGAAGTAACCTGTGTAGCTCTTTAGTAGGGGAATTGGTTAGTAAATTATAGGGCATCTAAATTATTTTGTGCAGCTATTAAGTTTGATTATAAAAGCTGCATGGAAACATGAAAATGTTTATTATGTATTGTGAAGGGGACAAAAATTTCCATTTGTATTCAAAATTACACACATGTAATAAATAAAATGAAGGGAAAATGTATGCCTCTGTGGACAAGGGCAGGAAGGAGATACGTAAAAGTGAAAATTGTTTTGTTAGGGTTGGGATTTTCAGGTATCTTGGTCGTTGCCGTTGTTTAAATTTTAAGAGTTTGCAAGAAATTCTCCAAGGCTCGTGGGATCCAGCCAAGAGCCCCATTCCCTGGCTGGAATCTGCGTCCCAGAAACACCAGAGGCCAGCAAAAGCCTCTGCCTCAGCACTGGCAGCAGCTCTGAGGCCTTCCAGCCAGCTACCTCTGCAGCACCAGTCCCCAGGTGGCACGGATTGACTGTCCTCCCAGACGAATTATTACTGCAGTACCCACAGGGGCCAGCTTCAGTCTGATTCCTGGGGCTGCCAGGACATCACAGCCATGGGGCCTGAGCCTCTAACCTGACAGCCAGCCGAGGAGCTTCCAGTGCCAATTGAAAACTTCTCCCTTGGACTCAGCTCCCTCCAAGTCCTGGGCAGGGGACAAGTACCGGCAGCCATGCAGGAGCCCAGAGGAGACTGTCTGCAGTGACCTTGCAGAGTCAGGACAGCCCTGGGGAAAAGCTACCTAGATCCTGGAGAGAAATCCATCTCCCTCACCCTATGCTTGCAGACCTTGGGAGCTCCAGGTTGGACTTTGTGGCCTCTCCACATGCCTCCCCATCCATCCCAAGAGTGGTTTAAGAGTGTGTGTGTGTATGTGTGTGTGTGTGTGCATGAGTGTATGTGTGTGTGTGTGTGTGTGTGTGTGTGTGTGTGTATACTCCTCTCATTCCTTCTCTCCTCCCTGCATTTAGCAATTGGCTCCTTGGTCTTGGTTCCTGTGGGTTCTGCTCCTTTTATTCCATCTCCAAGCCTGTCTTTGGATGAGAGTGTTCATTTTTATGAACAATAACTACAAGGATGAAGAAAAATTCACCAGCAGGTGCACAGCTCTTGACAGTTTGCAAAACGCATCCACACACACTTGTGCTCTGTGTCCTTCCTTCCCTCAGAAGGACAGCTGCAGCTGTGATCCCACCTTAATGCTCAAATTGGCTTCATTCTTTTTTTAAACACACACACACACACACACACACACACACATCACCCCATCAATTGTCATAGTTTTTGTAAGGTTCCTGAACATAGGTTCCTGGGATGGACATGGCATTCTTCTGGAAATATCTGGTAGCTGTGCTTCTTTGGGTTATAGCTCATCTCTCTCCAATCCCAAAAGGCCAACTTCCATCCTGGGTGCATGAGTTTCAGGTATTTACCTGACCCAAGAGGGTCCCTTCTGGGCGGGGACTTTTGTGTGCCAGCTTTGAAGGTAATATAGTTTGTTATCCCAGAAGGCAAGGAGCCCTCATTTCATTTATACTGTAATAAAACTCTTATTGATTTTAATAAAATTGAAAAATCTCTTTGTGAATGAAAACCCCGGGGCCCCCACCCTGTAACTGCTGACTTGCTGCGTTTTCTCCACACCATGGACATTATGATTCATGTCTGGGCACCATTGCGGTTGAGGGCTGATTTCCCCGGCAGAATAGATGTGAACTATAAAAAGTTGCACATTTGAGTACCTCCCGAGGGCTTTCAGTGGGTCCAGGCTGGGAGGGAGGGGGATTTTCCAGTGGGGGTGGTCGGAGCTGCCAGGACTGTGAGGACACAGCTTGGAGAGGAGCAGAGAGAGAGCCTCTGTCACTCTGCCCATGCTGCCTCGGTCCTTGCCACTTGTTCTAATCAAACTCCATGCAGCTCCTTCCTTGTGATCAGTGCCTTGTCCAGGATCACAGTCTGCACGTTTCCAACAGAATTTCTGGTCCCCAGAAAGCAGAAGAGCCCCCACCTTGGTGCACAAGGCAGAAACCACATGCCATCTCTGATCCACCCTTCTTGTTCTTTGAAGGGTCCCTTGTGCTCTGGTTACCTTCCCTGGCATCATCGCAGGGACCATGGCCTTTGTCTAGGACTGGGCACCCCGTCCACTGTTCCTGTCACTATTCCTCTTTTCTCTCTACCCGTTCACCTGCACACACAAACCTCACCTGCAACATTTGCTGCTCCTGGTCTATGCTCTCAGGAATGCTGTATATACCACTCTTTCTAGTTTTCCAAGTGTCTTGTACATTACGTTTGAGTGTCTGTCTGTTACACTTTTAAGCACTTACTCGTTCTAACAATCTGTTGAGGTAGATAATGTTATTGTGCCCCCTTTTCCAGATGGAGGAACAATCCCAGAGAGGTTAAGGAGTGTGCCCAAAGTCACAGAGTACAGAAGCAGCAGAGCTAGCCTTTGAACCCAAGCTGCCTGACTTTGGAGTCTGGGCTGGTGACAACTCTGTCTCCATTATAACATTTATTCTCTTTATTTCCCTTGGATCTCACATCCTTCACCCTCACATCTAACCAGTGCCTACCATAGGGCTGGGACCCTGTAAGCTGTCAACAACGTGGGTGGGATTCATGCCTTGCTTGGTACCATCCCCTGTGCAGGGAGATAATTTACAATGTCTACAAAGTTTTTTCACCCCTGCCAATATCTGGAGGGTCTGAAGGGCTTGGGAGTAGGCAAGCACTGTTCTAGGTCCACATTATTGACTTTATCTCATGACATAGGTTGGATTTGCCAGGCCAGGCCCAGTCAGTTAGGTAAACTGTGAAGCGCCTGGCAGTCCCACCCTAAACAGCCTGCCTCCAAAGCCCAGCTCTTCTCCCTGGTCCTTCAACCCCTCAAACTCAAACCTGTCTCTTGTACTCCTTGACTCATGGCTGTTTCTAATTCTACAGTCCACCAGCAAAGGCTGTGGCTGAAATAGGACCCAGCTCTGGGTGTGCCTTCTAAGAGAAAAACAGAAGTTGTTTCATTTCCCACTCACTCTGCAAGACATAATACATAGGCTGAATATAGAACAGGGGACCAGGATGCAGCATTCCTGTCACAAGGCCAGAGGCCAGGATGGAGCTTCCCTGCTCTGAGTTGGGGTATGGGTGAGCTGTCTCCAGACGAGGCATTTGCGTGGTTGTGACAGCTCTTGCTGAGCCCATTTCCCTTCCTGGGGTCCGCCTACCATACCCACAGGTATAGCCCCAGGCAGTCCTGTCTCCAGTGGCTCCTTGCCACCAGTCATAGTTGAGTGGATAGGAGTAGACACCTGACCTGGGCTGGCCCAGTAGACTGTCTCCCAGGGATCAGAAAGACACCGAAACCATGATCAGCTTTAGCTAGTTCCTTGAGTGGCAAGTAATAAAACCAGGACTTGGGGGTCCCTAGAGGTGGGAGAGAGAGAGAGAGAGAGAGAGAGAGAGAGAGAGAGCGCAGGAAAAGAGAAAGGAGGAGAAGACACAGAGAAACATCAGGTGTTTAGAAAGAAGCAGAGAGAAAGCCTGGAGAAATGGGGTCAGAGTGACCTCCATTCCCAGTGGCCATGTGCTTCTTGGTGGCAGCTCTGTGGCCTCTGTGTTCCTCCTCACCTTGTATTCCAGGAGACCGCCCATTTTCTCTATCGCCTCCCCACTTTTTTATTTGTGTAACTAATTAGCAAACTAATTAGTTGTCTGCAACCAGATTAAGTCTTGATTAAGACTTTCACTGACCAAATTGTCTTCCCTCTGAATTTAGGTCAACAGACTGCAAGGGAGACTGGGGACACGACACGGAGAAGAATCGCCACACTCCTCCACCCCTGGCAGGAGGTAAAGAAGGGCACTGGGGGCTGGGGGCACTGGTTGGTTTGCAGAAGAGGTGAGCCAGCCTGTAGGCACATGGGTACATGGTCAGTGTCCCTGTGTGTCTAAAGGGCTTTGTGGGAGGGCTCAGGCCATGGGAGGGTCAGAGAGAGGCTTCGGCACAGTGGAAGGCAGGCTCTCCCAGGTTTGTCCTGGGAAGGGAGGGGCTGCTTGGAAGGTCAGTTCTCCTGGCATCTGGCATGGCAGCATAGGTGCCACAGACACAGGGCCGGGCAGTGTTTAAGTATCTCTGCTTGAGGGTCCTGGAATGCATAAAAATTGGTGATCCTTGCTCCCATGGGAGACAGATGGGTTCTTGATACTGTAGCTCTGGGGTGTAGAGGAAACAGATAATCTAGGAGAGGCTGACCATTTTTTTTTTCCCCCAGAAATTGGAATGGTGCAGAGCCAATGATCAGTCTCAGTTGTCTTGGAATGAGAAGTCCCTTGTGCCCACCCCACAGGAACACACAGAGGCCGTCCCAAAACCCTTGATCCCCTGTACTGGAGCCCAGCATTCCTGATCCACCCACTGTACTAGTCGACCCAGGAGACCTGGCTGTTGGGCTGCAAAACCCTGCAGGGAGTCCTCTGCTTCTGGCCCATGTCCTTGGCCCTTTCCTAAAGACCGGCCAGGGTAGACCAGGTTGGTGGAGACACAGCTTCCTGGAATGCTCGAATGAGCTATGAGTTCTGGATGACGCCATCTTGGATTTGGTCAGCTCCTGGGGAATCCTCTTCCTGGCCTGTTCCCCAGTAGAAAGCCTGGTGTCCGGTGAGCCCTGGGCTCCAGTCCCAGTCTCTTCTGGATCCCTCCAAATCTTGAACACAGGTGGATCAGGAAGGTGGAGCCCCATGCCTACTTCTAGGTCACACTGGGAATTTGTCCTTTATATTGGTTTTGGAACCCACTCCCCCCCACACACCTTCATCCACCCTGCTTACTGTGTCTCTCTTTTGTTTTATGTTGTCTGTGTCCTATCTCCTTCCACCCTCACGACCTGCACTTTTGGCTCAAGATAGCACTGAGCTGGGGTTGAGAGATTTGGGGATCTTTCTGGGGGTGTTCACAGCCATGTTCCCTGAAAGCCATCCCCCAGAGACTCTGGGAGAGATGGGGTAATTTTGCTTCCTTCCCAGCTATGATTTATGGGCTGCTGTGTCTTTCACAGTTAAGAGAACATTTTAGAGTATTCCTGGAAGCGTGTCTCAGGAAGTGCCAATTAACCCCAGAAACCTGTGGAGGGGGAGTTGAAGTCCTGGGCTTCTGACCAGATTTGGTCTCACATTTAGAAACCCTGTGTACCCAGGGCTGTGGCTGAGTCTGAGTTTAGGACGAAGACCAAGTGTGGACCTGTGAGTCCGCCTCTGCTGGGTGCTCATGATCCCTTCATTACTCACCCGACCACTCATTCATTTGTTTATCATGACCCTCTAATTTATTCCTAGTCACTCATTTATTCCCATTGGTCAGTTTTTAAATTTATGCATTTCTTCTTGACTTGTTTACTCATTCATATACTCATCCATTGATTCTTTTTATGTCTGGCTTTATTGAGGCACAATACACAGGACACATTTAATGAGCATAATTTCCCTTGAAATTATGAATCGATAAAGGAAGTGTGAAATACCTACACATCGGGGTGCCCTCCCATCATGAAGAATGGGATCCTGTTGTTTGTGGCATGGAACTGGAGAAGCTTATGTGAAGCCAGGCATGGAAAGACAAATACTGAGCTTGTTCTTAGTTCTATGTGGAAGTTAAAACAGTTGGTCTTAGAGAAGTAGGGCGTATCATAGTGGTTACCAGAGGCTGGGAAGGTTGAGGAGAGAGAGGGAGGTTGATTAATGGGTACAAAAATACAGTTAGACGGGAAGAGCAAGTTTCTGTATTTTATAACACAATAGGGTGACTACAGTTATCAGTAGTGTTTTAGTCAGCTTTTTTTTTTTTTTTTTTTTGCTGTGATTAAAATACCTGACAAAAACAATTGTAGAAGAAGAAAAGTTTATTTAGGGGCTCATGGTTTCAACGTTTTCAGTCCATACACAGCCAGCTCCATTCCTTGGGGCTCGAGGTGAGGTTGAACATTATGGTGGAAGAATATGGCAGAGAGAAGTGGTTCACATGGTGACCAGAAAGCAGAGACAGACTCTACTTGCCAGATACAAAACATAGACCCTAAAGGCATACCTCCAATGCCCACCTCCTCCAGCCATACCCAACCTGCCTTCAGTTACCACTCAGTTAATCCCATCAGGGAATTAATTCACCAATTGGGTTAAGGCTCTTATAACCCAATCATTTCTCTTTTAAATCTTCTTGCATTGTCTCACACATAAGCTTTTTGGGGGGACACCTCACATCCAAAGCATAACAAGTAGGTTATTACATATTTCAAAATATCTAGAGAAAAAGATTTTGGATGTTCCAAAATATCATACCAGTACAAAGGTATGATAAATGTTTGAGATAATGAATATGCTAGTTACCCTGATTTAATCATTACACCTTGTCCATATGTGTCCAAGTAGTCCACTGTACCCCATAAATATGTGTAAGTATTATGTAACAATTAAAAATAAAAAAGCACAACCTGATAAGTTTTGAGATCTATCTATACATGTGTCTATGTCTAGATCTGTCTCTACCCCGATATTTATATATCTCCTTGAAATCATCACCAAAATGAAGATCATGAACACACTCATCACCCCAGAAAATTCCTCCTCCCTCCTGATATGCTTTCCATCCCCAGGCAACCACTGATATGCTTTCTTTCTCAATAGATTAGTTAGCACTTCCTTGAGTTTTATATACATGGAATCTACAATATGCAGTCTTTCCCCTTCCAGTTTCTATTATTTAGCATTCAAAACTCTCTGTTCTGCCGCATGAGTCAGAACTTTTATGGTTTATTACTTTTTAGGGTTGGTTGACAGTCCAAGGTATGGCTAGACCACAATTTGTTTATCCATTCATCTGTTGATGGACATTTGGGTGGTTTCCAGCTTGCGGCTATTACAAATAAATCTGCTGTGAACATTGATGCATAAACCATTGCAAGGATATAAGCTTTCATTTCTGTTAGGTAAATACATAGGAGTGGAATAGGCTGATTTTATAATAGGATATATTTATATATATATATATATATAGATAGATAGATAGATAGATAGTATATTGAACATTTTATTCAGATAATTGTAGATTAACATGCCATTTTAAGAAATAATACAGAGAGCTCTGGTGTCCTTTTCTCATTTACCCAATTTCCCCCATAGCAACGTTGTCCTTTATGTAAAACAACTGGTAGACCTCTCTCTTGTTACTCCCTTTCCTAACCCCAGAAGATCACTGTTTTTTTTTCTCTATTTCTAAAACTCTCTGCATTAGTTGCCTTTTTCTTCGCTGTGACCAAAAGACCTGACAAGAACAACATAGAGGACAAAAAATTTATTGGGGCTCCCAGTTTCAGAGAACCAGTCCATGGTTGGCCAACTCCACAGCTCTGGGCATGAGGGAGGCAGAGCATTATGGTGGAAGGGTGTGGCAGAGGAACGCAGCTCGGGACATGATAGTCAGGAAGGAGAGAGAGAGAGAGAGAGAGAGAGAGAGAGAGAGAGAGAGAGAGAGAGAGAGAGACCTACTCACCAGGGACAAAATATAAACCCCAGAGGCACACCCCCAGATATGTACTTTCTCCAACCATGCCCTATGTGCCTACAGTTACTGCCCAGTTAATCCAAATCAGTGGATTAATCCATGGATTATGTTACACCTCTCATAATCTAATCATTCTACCTCTGAAAATTCTTGCATTGTCTCACACATGAGCTTTGCGGGGACACCACATATCTAAACCATAACACTTATTTCAAAAATGTCATATCAATGGAACCATTTTGGTGTGTAGCCTCTTGTGGCATTAGTTTTATTTAAATTCCACATAGTTTCCTACAGATTCTTCAGAGACGTGACATATATCAGTCACTCACTCTTCTTTGTGGAAGATTGATATTCCAAGTTATGAACGTCTCAATTTGTTCAACCATCATTCCTCGGCTGACGGACACATGGATTGATTCCAGTCTTGGGCTATTATGAACCAAACTGTGATTAACACGTGCGAGCAGGTTTTTGTGCAAATACAAGTCTTTGGTTCTCTAGGATATACACATTTAAGAATGCAACTGCTAGGCTGTGGGGTAATTGCAGGTTTAGTTTTTATAGGAAACAGCTGAATTGTGTCTGTCCACAGAAGAAACTCAACAAATGTTCGGCAAACACTAAGTGAAAACGAATGCTGACATGCATTCCCTCCTTATCCATACTCTCCTTTTCTTTCCTTCACAGATTAATTAATTCCTTCTACTCATTAAACTTGAAAGCCCTGTGCATTTCAGCTGTTCCTTTAGCCATCTCACTAAAATGGAATAAGCATACGATTTAGCTCAGTCTCATTGAACTGTGCCACCAGGACTCTGCCAGCTGTTTAGGGGCACACTGCCAGGGCTCCTTGTGGGTCCTTCCTTCCTTCCCTAGCCACCCGGATGGCTACGCCCTAGCAGTTTCCTCTGCAGATTTTGTTGCAGGGTAGGAGACCAGCTGCATCCAAGTGCTTCATGGCTGCTGTCCCTCTCCCTGAAGAAACACTCATCTCCTCTCCTCTGTCACCTTCTCCCTTTCCTTTCTGTCTCCACAGGGTCCCCAAACATGGATCAGAGCTTTGCTGGATCCTTGGCAGACAGAAATGAGTCCACTTCTTTTTGTTGCAATTCAGAGAGGGAGTGTTCCTGGCCCGACCTGGATGTCAGTGCCCCCCCCAACCACCCAGGGAGCAGGCAGTGATGGGGAGGCCAGGAGGGACCTGTCTTCTCCACAAAGGCTCTGGGAGCTCACACCTGATGCCACACTTTGGGCTGAACCAAACAGACCCACTTCCTGCTCTCAGAAAGCTCTTTGTCTTGTGGGGAGACAGACAGACTTGCATCGTACACCTAAATACATAAACAGAAGCAACATAGACTGGGATAAGGGTTATGAGGCAAAAGTTCATGATGCTACAAGAACATGTAACATGAGGGATGGTCTAATTTATGGAGTCATAGAAGTGACATGTGAGCTGAGAAAGCAAGGAGCAACAGGATTTGATTGAAAACAGAGGTGTACAAGGGGGGGGAAATACAACAATTAAGCCCTAACAGCATGTGTAAAGGACATGTGGTCAGAAGAATAGAATGGGACAGTTGCTGGAACAGAGTGAGATTGAGAGGGGCAGGCACCCAAGCCTTATTAGCTATAAGCAGGATTTTGTTCTTTGTCTTAATGATTTTGATACAATCACACTAATTTTTTTTTTTAATCACAATGGACCTTCAAGAGCTCAGCGTGACTGCTCAGTGGGGAATACTTAGAATAGATAAGAGTGGAGCAGGTAAGGGTGACTTTGAAGGCCAATAGCAAGAGATGGAGGCAGCTGAGGTCAGGGCAGAAGGGATAGAGAAGGGAACAGAGAGCAGCATGTTCAGGAGGTATAGCTGCCGAGATCCCAGCCTCACTCTTGGCAGTACGTGGCAGGAACAGGGCAATCCTGAAAGTGAAACCCGAGTTTCTGGGTCATTCCCTAAGAATAGGAAGAAAGTCAAAGTCTGGAGCGAAAGATCAAGAGTTTAGTTCTAGATTTGCTGTGTGTGTGGCCCTTTGGTGATGTCGCCTAGACAGGTTTTGGGTATGCAAGTGAGAAACACACAGGAAAGCCAGACGGGAGATGCACACGAGGGAATCAGGAGCCTGGAGGTGCTGATTGAAGTCTTGACATGATTATGATCATCTGGGGAGAGAGCTGGTTCAGAAAGTGACAGAGACGGCAGAGGTGCTGCAGGCTGAGTGAATGCAGATCGAGAAACACGGAAACCTTGCAAGCAAACACAGGAAGAAATTGGAAATATGATGCTGGGGAAGGAAAGCCTTCCCACGCAGGTTGCAAAACGCAGAAGCTGTAAATGGAAAGGCGGTTAGAGAGGAATTCATAAAAAATTTAAAGTCTCTGAACAAGGAAGCACAAGGAACAAAGTAAGATGAAAGATTTGCAAGATATTCACAAGACAGAGACTAAACTCTCTCAATTCCATAGGAAAAATGACAAATCACTTAATAGAAACTAGACAAGAGAATGACCAGGCAATACACAGATGACAATACGCTCACGACCCCTAAACACAGGAAAATGCGCTCCGTGTTCCCAGGGGCTTGCTCTCATCTGTTTAGCAAACATTAAATGAAAATAGCACTAGCAGTGTGGGGAAACAGACACTCAGAGCCCAGTGGCAAATTGTGTTTGGAGGATAATTTGGTAGGATCTGTCAAAACTCTAACCAGCAGTGTCTCATTGGGAATCTAAGAAAACTCATAAATATGTGCAGGGACGCATTTAGTTATGAAGAAATGCACTGTGATGTTATTTACCAAGGTTAAAAAAAACCTGGAAGCAATATAAACCTATAAACACTATACAGATGCTCCTCAATTTACGCTGGGATTATGTTCTGATAAACTCAACTAAATTGAAAATATTAAGTCAGAAATGCATTTAAAGGACGGGAGGTAAAGGAAACCCAAATGGAGCAAACTATGTATATACGTTTATGAGCATATCAAAATGGACCTCTTTCGTATGATCCATAAAGCACCAATAAAAACATTTTTAAAAAATATATTCAAGGCAGGTGTGGTGGCATACACCTGTAATCCCAGCTGCCTGGGAGGCTGTGGCAGGAGGATCAGAAGTTTGAGGCCAACCTCAGAAACTTAGTGAGACCCTGTTTCAAGAAAAGGGGGTGGTTGGGGATGTGGCTCAGAGGTAAAGCACCCCTGGGTTCAATTGTCAGTACCAAAGAACAAACAAACAAAATGCATTTAGTGCACTCG